CCTGATGTCTAAGACGTGGCACATTGTAATTACCTTAAAAAGGGTCATTCAAACTTAAGATGTAAGTTAACTATGAAATGTTATGCTATTATAATATTTATTACTTCTGTTTCAATTAATATTATACTTCCTCCGTTCTTTTTTATTGGCAATAGTCCACTTTTCACATTAGCCAATGCGCAAGTTTGACCATTAATATCTTTCATTCCTTATTAGTAAAAAAATTAAAAAATTCAGATTTTGAAAATTTCAAATGAGAAGCATTTAACTATATTTTTTTAAAAATTTAATTTATAATACATATAAATAAAATATAATCAAAGTAGAATGTGTCAATAGTGAAAAAAGTCCAATGTTGCAATTAAAAGAGAACGAAGGTAGTATTAATTAGAGTGACATTGGAGTAGGGACGCCATGACTCTGATTTTCTGGGTCCGCCACTGGAGTAAAGCATAGGCAAAATACAAAAATAGGAGTATCATGTTTTGAATAGGAGTAACTTTAGTGTTTGGACAAGTATATCCTTACCCAAGCCCCAAGCCCCAACAACTTCCATTAATAATTAAAACATAAAAGAAATACTTTGTACGATTAATTATTTTATAACAAAATTGTAAAAAACAAGAAAGATGTCAAATAAAATATACTCCGTATTAAATAATTAAAAAAATATTAAACTTAAAAAATAAAAACTAAAAAAATATAAAAAAATTTTAAAAAATAAAAAAATGCCAACATTTCCCCGAAAGCCATCAAGATGGAAAATTTTGAGAAAATGTGGCATTTTCAAAGAGTAAAACTGCCATCTTTATGACATTTTCAAAGAAAATAACAGTTTTTACATAAAGTGGCATTTTTTCGCCGATCGGAGGTGATATTGTTGGGTGATGACCGAAGCTACGGGAAAAACCTGCATAACTTTTATATATATTTTAATATAATTTATCTATTTTTTATTTATTTTTAAAGTTTTTTATTTTTATAAAAAATAACTTTTTTAATTTTTAATATTTTATTATTGTTGGGATGAACTTGGATTATTTTTAAAATTAAATGGCCCGCATAAAGATATCGTTTCAAGTGAATGAACTTAGAGTTTTTTTAACAAGATCAAATAAGTCATATTTTATAATTAACTAGGTTAGGGATATTAAGGGTACAAAATTAATGTTTACTCCTATTGAAGGAAGTTTTAAGTTTTACTCATATTTATGCAATTATGTTTATGTTTTCTCCTATAGTGAGCAATTTTTCTAAAAGATTACGTGTTTGATAAACAAGATGCTTGATAAGCGTAATAAATAAAAAACGAGATCCCCGGATAAATGTCGTCGATTTTTTTGTTTCTATCTGACGTGCACTTGTCGTGAGGTGCACTCAAAATAAATACAATACAACGAATATACGTAGTATAACGAAGTAAGGTTTGTATCCACATGGAAAGGAATACTTTTCTTTTATATAAGTAGTAACAAGGGGGGTTTAGATTTATTTGATTTAAAAACACTAAGATGAACAACCTATATGAGTTTAATTTAATGAGATGAGGACTTGGTTTTGCTTTTATCCACTTAATGAAATGCTCGCCGATCCCGGTTATATCTTTAACTATCTTCCTCTCGAATACTCAATCGAGGAGTATATCCAGTTCATCGAGGGTAGTTATTAATAACGAGATGCGTTCATTAATAAAACTTACTATCGAGTCAATATAGAACAAGCGCCGTATATTAACTTGATAGTAGCAATAAACTTAAGATGAAAACGATTGAGATTGATAACCTCAACACAAGCGGTTTATTGGTTTAATCAATATAACTAATTCCCCTTGGCATATTAACCATGAGATGCGTGCATTAATATTCCAAGTTTACTACCGTTGAAAGAACCGGATTAATAACAAGCGTATTAACCGATTGATTCTAGTAATAATTAATATGAGAAACAAAACTAGTTGATACTTTAAGTAATGTTTAAAATATTAATATGAAATATGAATAGGAATTAATTAATATTCAAGGAAGAAGATTAAAGAAAATAACTCACAACTTACAAATTCATTAAGCTTCAAAGTAGCAAAACCAAGATGGAAGAGTTTAGCTCCTCATTTGGAGACTAAACATGATGAAAAATATAAAGAAAGAACTATTCTATACTGAGCTTAGAAGTATATAGGAATTGGATATCTTTTTGTGAAGGAAAGGAGGTGTATTTATAGGCTTTTGGGATGAGATTCGGGTACTCGATCGGGTATATACATGGTACCCGATCGAGTATGTGTGTAATACTCGATCCGAGGTGTACTCGATCGGTTTCAGACTGTTTTCCATAAGTATACCCGATCGGGTATATGTTTATACCCGGTCGAGTATGCTTAGAAAGTGGTATTCGGACCATACTCGACCGATCTTTGCTTAAAACTCAAAGGCATACCCGATCGGGTATGTCGGTCTACCCGATCGGGTATAGACATTAAATCGTGGCCGAAATCCTCCCGGCATGTTCCCTTGTCTTCGGATCTGATCCGATTTGAAGTTCCAACCTAATACCCGATCGAGTATAGTTAATACTCGACCGAGTATAGACCAAAATTCAGGATCTTCTTTTGTCTTCAAATTTTTGCACCTTCTTTCCACTCTTTGGGTTCACCAACTGTACTTCGAGTGATCAAAACCTGTTTGAGCTCAGAATATATCTAATCTAAACTATTTACAAGAATTTAACAAACTAATCTATTACACCAAAAGTGTGTAATTTCCATAGTAAAGATCAAGCAAAACTAATTAAAAACACAAACATAAATATGGAAATTACAAATGTATCACTATCCCTTTGCTAACATGTATTCTATACATATTTTTCATAGAAAATGTTCTTAATAAGTTCAATAAGGATGTTTTTAGTTGGACTTTAGTTTAATGGTTTGATCTAGTCTGATCTCGTATGGTCTGAATTGAACTTGTCTATTAAATGTCAGAAAAATTGAAAATAATAATCTCAACTATTGCCGATCCGCTAATAATAATCCCAACCATTTATTATTTTTGTATAATTTCAACTATACGAACCATCCGTCAATAGTAATCCATGACCGGTTACTACCTGCTATAACAGGTCAATTTTAAATACTTCTATAAATTAGGCTTATTCTATAAATCATCTGAACTATGCTCGCTCTTCTTTTAATAATCTCAACTATCAACTCAATTTTTTTTTACAAAAAGTAGAAATAATTATTTAAATATCAGATTTGAAATTATACAAATGAAAGTTTAACCAAATATAAAAACGTGTTGCATTTTAGAAATAAGAAATTTTACATTTCATTTTTTTTATTATTCTCAGATTTGTTTTGGACAAATAGTCGTTTTTAAATTCTTTTACAATTCATGATTTTTATTAATTTTTAACTACTTTAAGTTGATTTAATATTTTAGGATGATTAGATTTTATTTTTTTATATTTTGAAAATAATCATTATTTTTTTTCTTTTTCACTTTCTTAATTTTGAAAATGAAAGTCTTCATTTTTAATTTGAATATGTAATTAATTTTAATTTTATTTATCTTTTAAAGATTTTGTATTGACCTTTTTACTATCCTTTAAAATATCTTACACGTTATGTAATTTTGAAATTTATATAAGAATTCCATATTCTATAATTATATATTTTATATTCTTTAATTCTACAAACTATCTAAAAAAGTTAAAAATTGATTTTTATAATATTTTTTACCCTTTCTATTTATTTATGTAAATTTTAATTTAATTATTCTGGGTCCATCAGAAGTTGACAGATGATAGTTCGGATTATTATAATCTGGTACTCCCTCCGTTCCTAAATAAACTTCCAACTTTCCTTTTTCGTCTGTTCCAATTAAATTTCCACTTTCCCTTTTTGGTAAAGAATTTGTGGTTCACAACATTTCTTACACATTTCTCTCTCCTCTGCACAACTCTCCACCACACAATACCCACTTTTCTTAAATTGTGTGCCAAAGTGGGTTGGAAGATAAAATAGGAACAGAGGTAGTATTTCTTTTTTAATTGACTGAATAGGTAGCCAGTCACGTCGGATCATTATTGGCGGAAGGTTTCTAAAGTTGGGATTATTATGAAATAATCGATAGTTGAGATTATTACGAGCGGATCGCCAATAGTTGGGATTATCACTATCATATTTTCCTTAAATGTCTGGTCATCTTGTATTTTATAACTACATAAATCTGATTTTTTAAATTTTTTATTTATAAGGAATGAAAGATATTAGTGATCAAACTTATGCATTGACAAACATGAAAAATGGACTGGTGCGATTAAAAGGAAACATAGGAAGTATATATTTATATATTATACTCATTGGTCACACTGTCAATGAGTCTACTTGCTTTGGAATTTAAAATCATATGCGTCACAGTGTCGCACATCCTTCTTTTAGTGAATTTTTATTTAGTTTTTGAGGTAAGTTCCACTAAACTTTGTTAGCTCACTAAAAAATTATACATAGCACAATAATATTAATTAACAAAGTTATAGATAAAAATTATTATAATCTGACTACCGTGGTTTGAGATGATAATTATAAGTATAGATTTTATAAACACACAATGATAAATATGGTATAATAGTGACCAAATAATAATGTTGACACCGCAAAATATCAAAGTATAATTTTATGTTAGATACTTAATTGTCCACATTAAGCGGATTCACGAACACGAACCCGACCCACCCCAATCTCTGATCCTCCTAACTACGTCCCTCGGCCCAAGGAACGGGATAACCAACAATTTCCAAGCGTAAATAATTAGATTACGTCCCAAATTTCCAATTTATCACCGAGTACTCCGTGTTTTACACCATCTAATGACATGCATAGAATGATTGATTTAGAAGATAAGATATCACACGCTATCTTTTGAATCAGAACACGGGATTTCAATTACTCCCGACCAAACACAACGTGTAGAAATGATTGAGAGTAAATAAATGGTAGGGTCTTTAAATTCTCGTCGAATCCAGTAGTTTAGTACACATAGTACACCGTTCCCGTCACTGGAAAAGCCCAAATGCTTAGTACTCTGGAATGGTGAAGCAAAGCATTTAATGCCAGATAGGTCCTCCGATTCTCAGTTTTCATCTTTTCTTTACCTCTCACCTTTTTCTTTCTCCCACAAGCAAAGAAAGTTGTATTATTTGCCCACTTGAGTGGGCATTCGTCATTTTCCTTCTTCCACTCACTGAGCAAGGAGTGGGGTTTTCAGATTCTTTTAGCTTTTAATAAAAAAGAATGGGACTTCTCTTTCAATTTGCAGCAGTATATCTCTCTATCTATATGCTGTATGCATACATGTAGCTGGAGATGGCGTAGAAAGATTCAATTTTTTTGAAGGCAGATCTTGTCGCTTTCTCTTCTCTGATTCTCATGGCGAAAGCGACCCATCATCTTCATTTGTATTTATATCTATCTTCATGTTACCCCTTTTCTCCGCTTCACTCCCCTTGTTTTCCGCCGGAAAAAAAGGAGAGATCTTTGACCATTTTTCCCCAATCAAACACTGCCCCTCACTGTTCTTTTCCTTCTCATTTCTGTAAACTGGTTGATTTCTTTACTTTTTCGATCTACCCTTCCATGTTTCGAGTTTATTTATTGCAGTGAAGTGACAATACTATGAACCTGACGTCATTGGTGGTAGCTAAAGAATATCAAGAATTGTTGTAGATATGGGTTTTCAGATTTCAGATTTATAGCAGTTTTTAAATTCTTAATACGCCCAGAAAGTTTTACCTTTTTTTTCAGTTTCAGCTCAAAGACGGCACCTTCTGAGGGTTTTATGCCTTTTATTTTGATGGGTAACTAGTCATTGATTTATTTGATAATCTTGTTAATGCTTACTCATCTTCTTGGGAGAAATTTGTTGGCGTCTTGTTTTGCATATCTATTGCGAATGCGTTAACTCCACCCAGTAAATTAAAACTAAACTGTGGTTAGATATTGGTTTTAGTCAGGGTTGATGATACGTTTAGTTTAATTCTTTTGCAGTGTAACTTTTCATTCCTTTGCAGTCTGATAATTCAAATGTTCTCTTTTTTCCTCTACTAAAAAAGAATATTTTCTGAAAATGTCATATTTTCTTCTTTCCCTTCTGCTACAGAATGAATATACTGCGAACTTTGCAGATTAATAATACTCCGTATTATTATTTTTATTAATTTTTCTTGGTCTGTAAACTATTTTCTGGAATTTAGTGGCTGGCTGAGAAATTTATGAAACCCTTTTTCCTAATCTGTCTTGGCTTATTTTCTGAATAATACATGTTTGTATGTCTGTGTGAACACATATATGATATATCATATACTCTGTATGTATGTATATGCACATGTCTATGCAGCCAGGTTCCAGATAGATAAACCTTTATTTGAGATCTATTTAAGCTTTTGCAGATGTGGAATTAAAGATCTGATGTATTCACAAGCCATAAAAACGAAAATGATAAGTAATAATGTTTTTTATTCTTTTAATAACCATCGGAGGTGGTGAAGATAAGCCACACATATTTTCTATTTCAAAGAGACGGTTTTGTTCATCTCTCCTTCATTAAATGGAGCTACTGGTAGTTAGCTGAAAGTCATTTTTTTCTTTTCATTTTGTCTTACTTCAAAAAAAAAATCTTGGGAATAATGATATTTACATTACCATTTATTCTTCTTGCGCCATTTTTCTTCTCTGTGGCGTTAGTTGTTGAGTATCTGAATAAACTGCTGAAAGTTTAGGTATGCATAATGAGCAAGAAGACAGTTTGTGGAGTAATAATGTGTGTGTGATAAAATTTGCAAAGTTCACACAGTTAGTTGATTAATTAGAATGAATAGAAAGGGGTTTAAAGTTTAGGGGATGGGTGTGAGAGTAAGAGAGAGAGCTTCCTCCAGCCCACTCATGGATGAGAAATGGGGTTGAATTAGCTGCCGCCTCATTCATCCAACCATTCAGTAGAAGAGGATGTGATTTCTGCTAATTTGATTGAGTGAATGATACGGGAGATAATTTCGTATCCCTCTCTTTCTTTGGTTGGACTGAAGGGAGCTCCCTTTTCCTCTTTCAACTCCCTTCTGCCAAATATGAAGGACTCGTTTTGTAAGGATCATTTGGTGGACATGGTTAAATTACATATAATCGGCTACCCAATATAGCGCTAATTTTCCTATGAATCCCCCTTAGTAGCATAACCATGCAATGTGTTTCTCTCTTCACTACGAGAATGATCTTGAATGATGGACAAACAAAGAGTGACATTTGCAGCAACTAAGGTATGTTAAGATGTACTAAAGATTTACTTTCATCCGATGACATAATAATTTTACCTTGAATTATGGCTTAACAAAAGTTACTCGCTTACTTTTTTTTTGTTTTCCTGGAAGAACATCAAGTATGAAAATTGTTTCTTTTTTGCTCGGTATATAGCCTACTATCATATCTTCATTTCCATTACTGTATTTTGGTTACTTCTATAATCAAATTCTTAATTGCTGCCTTGTTGTGCATAGACTTCAGTTTCAGTTGAAAGAGTTGTGTTGGCTATTGTGAGTGGTGACTATGCTACAAAAGTTTCTTACAAGATTTAAGGCTATGGTTGGAACTCAGAAAAAGGTTTGGAAATAGGGGAAAGTACTTATTTTAATGCTTGGTTCTATCTTTGGTGATAGAAATATATATTAATTTTGATCTACGTTTTCAAAAAAGTCTAACATATAGTTATATTTTTTAGTCTTAATGTAATAGAAATATAAAAAACCAATATTTAAAGTTGATTAATTAAGTTTTACCTTTTCATTTTAAATCCCCTCCTATTCTACATTTCAAATTTTCTTGCCATTTCCTCTAATTTCTTTCTACTAAACCCCAACTCTTGCAGTTGAAAAGATGTATACTTTGATTATGTGAAGTGAAGCTTCTGCTGGGAGATTGAAGGTCTGCTGATCTATCTGATTTACATACGAAATTAACCTATTAATTGCCACGAATTCTGATGTCTTTTGCATGGCTTCTTGTGTAGTGAGGAACCAGTTTGTGAAAATATCAAAATGAAATATGGTGAATCTGCACTTCCGTAAACAGGCCAGCTTCAAGAAAGTAAGGCCATGTTTGGCTGAAGTGACTGAATATATGCTGATTATTCTGAAAGAAAAAGTGCTTAGTGCAATACATTTTCCTCTAGGGAACAAATCAAAAGCTCAAAAGGATAAACAGAATTAAAATAAGGCTACCAAACGGACCTTGGTTGTTTTCAATATTTTTATTTTCCAAACCTTTTTTCTCTTTTTATGTTTCAGTAAGAAAGTTGCCTCAGCAAATTTCTTTGCATGTGGCTGTGATCTGATATTTTTTGCTAGCTGTTACTCAGTTTATTCATAAACACGTCACACTATTTGTCATATTAACAGAACTTAGGGTTGCATGGCAATGAGGTGATTCCCTCATGTTTTCCAATTCTAGAGAATACCTGAAAAGGATAGAGGGGGGACCTCTCCTACTTCAAATTCTGTTTAGAAAAGGACCTTTAATGAAAAACATTAAATCCCTAACAGTAACATGGAGTGGTGTATTATTGGATTCTTTGATCTTTTATGCACTTATATATTTAAATTTAGTCCTATGAAATGTCAAACAATTCTATTTTTTCTAGGGCGGTCCCCCTTCACTTTGGTGTGTGATAGCCTTAATTGATACTGTGTCAATGAAATGAGAATCTGGTGCATGTTATGTGATTATGGACAGGGTGTCCTATTATGGTCCCCTACAAAACATTTGCAGGAAAAAGAGTCATTTGCCCTAAAAAATTGCTGACCCTTTGCTTTAGGGTTAGTTTATTGCTTTATTTTATCATTTCTTGGGGGGGGTGAGTGAGTGGAGTTTTTACCAAACACCCTACCCTATCAGCAGCCACTGTCTGTCATCAAAATATGCAGTTTGGTAGATTGAATGAGGACTGAAGGGTTCCATTTTTTATGTTATTCTCTGTCACTTATGGAACTCCATATGATCTCTCAAATGACTGCCTATTTAGGAAAATTTCTGGTTTTTAGGTTATACAGAATTATTACATTAAAACAAAAATGAAATAGATATTTGTGGTTAACTAAGTCATTTTACTAAATCTTACTTAGCTGGTTTGCTAAATGGATAGTTGTGTGTGGGCAGTCTTATCACTTAATCATGGACAAGTTATAAGATTGGAGGAAGGAGTATTGACCAATTATATTCAATTGTAACTAATGTAGTTTGATCTGTTTATGAATGATATTATGGGTATTTTGTTACTTCTAATGTCCCACTAAACTGGACAATTGATTGCATGTAAAATATGATTTTTTTACTCGAATAGCAGTAAATAATGTGGTATTCCAAAATAGCATTAATTACCGTGATGCTTAGCTTGAATTTCGGGGGGAGATGTAGTATTTCTATTTTGCAATATTACATTATTTTTTATTCCTACTTCGGGAAACATTAATAAAAAAGTAAAGGAAACTTTGTAAATTGTAATTGATGTTTGTGTATGGGGAAAAATAATATTAAGGAAAAATTGACAAAAATAATCTCATCTTTCGCTGGTCTTCTGCTAATAATCTCAAAATAATCTCACCTTTGCACCCCATCTTCTTTCATTTGATCCTGACCTTGTTTTTTACTCTTTTTTTGAAAATCATATAACTAATGTTACCTCTCACTTTTCTATTATATCTTTATAAATGTGAGATTATTTATATAAGATTTTCAAAGAAAGGGAAAAAACTTGGTCAGGGTCCAATGAAAGAAAATAGAGTGCAATGGTGGGATTATTTTGGGATTATGTAAAGGTAGGATTATTATGAGAAGATTAGTGAAAGGTGGAATTATTCTTGTCAATTTTTCCTAATATTAATCATAAATTTGTTACTCAAAAGAAAGTGGTAAAGTTTTTGGAAGTATTATTTAATGTTGGCAAAAGTAGAATGTGGCTGTGAAGTATTATTTAAAAATACTTTCAGATCAGACCAGACTTGGATAGTTATAAAAATACAAAGAGACCAGACCAGCAAATTACAGTCCAAGTAAAAACATCCTAAGTTTATATAGTGTGCTATGGAGTACCAGATAAGTCTAAGTAAACAAGTTCTATGTCATAATCAGTATTTTCAATATTAAGTTATGATTATAGCATATGTTATGTCTTGGCATCCTACCAAGAACAAATTTCTTATAGGCTATAACTGAAGTGTATGCTAATTCTGAACTTGAAGTGTCTTTTATTGAAATATTGTTTCTTAACCATTTCTTTTTCTCTTTCAGGTACAGATTAGGGTTTATAATTTGATGCATGCTGCAAATATAGCTGCTGATCTATGTGTTTGCGAGCTCTCGTGGCCATCGAAGGGAAAACTGGTGACTCTCCCACCCCCACTCTACCCTCACCTGATTTTTCATACTATTGAAAATGAATGTTGTGGAAAATAAGATGGGATTATTTTTGAATTGAAAAGAAAGAATGAGTATTAAGGTTGGGGTTTTATGCTACAAACCTTCTTGATTTAGTGCCCGTTTGGTGGCCATGATTTTAGGCTTTTCAGGCTTCTTAGTTAACTTTTTCATCAAACACATAACTTTTGGTTTTACGGGTTGAATTGTGTAATAATAAGAAAAAGTAAGGTCGTAGTTACTTTTCTGACTGTATTGGCTGAAGTTACTGTAGAGGGCTATTTTAGTTATTTTTTAATATATTTTTTTCTTTATTTTATTAATAAAATGTATTTTAAATTATTATTTTTCACAAATCATCAGAATCAGCCAATACAGCCACACCAACCAGAACTTCAAAAATTTCATCAGAATTAGCCAATACAGTCGATTTGGTTATTACCAAACGGGCTCTTAATTGCGTAATGAATTTCTGATTGTGTTCCAAATCAGTAGTCAGTTTCCTCTTTTAGGAGAGCACCACCTAGTCTAAGCCTCCAAGGGTATTTAATTTCAATAAGTTGAGGTATAATTATCAAGGAAGCAAACAACTTACTAATTAGGTGAGATTATTAAGGACATGTTTAATTTACTTGTTTAGTTTGTTTATACATAGTTTGAACGTTTGGTAGAGTTTTAGATTAAGTATAATTTATTTTTGTTTAAATTGCTTTGATTTGGTTAGATATGAGCCTCTGGGGCATGAGAATAGCAATTTAAATTCAACAACTCTTTTGGGATGTGGATTGGGTAAAGTTAACCCCATCTTACAATATCGTACCTTTGTTCAAAATATTTTTGTAAAGTCACCATTTTTAATTTTAATCAATTAATGTTAAAATTAAATCATCTCTATTGAAATTTAATTCAACTTTGATAATTAAAACTTACATATTCGAAAATTACATTGAAATCTCTTTAAAATTGGAAATTCAAAAAAAAATCTAATTTTGAATCTAACTAAGAATTGATATTCTAATTAAGTGAATAAAATGAATTGATTTAATCCAAAAAAATTAATTTTGCAATTTAACTTGAGATGGAATGAGTATAATATTACCTCCGTCTATTATAATTTCTTAGATTTTTTATTTTGATTGTTTCAAAAAATTTATTATTCTCCCTTATAATATGATTAGTTTGTGATTCTAATTATTTTCTTTATCATCCACGCAAATGTATGAAGTAAATCAAGTAATACGGGATGATAGAAATATTTAAATAGTGCTTGACATATTCCTTGAAAACATGTGATGTGAGGTGGTTTGTCTAGTGGTGTCAATTGTGACTGTCTTGTCTTGTCTTGAAGGTAACAAGTCTTGTTAGGAAAAAGGGTTGCAAGTTATGCATAATGTAACTAGCCTGCAGATTGTCATTCATGAAAGTGGATTTTAATTTGAGGTATTGTTTGGTGTTAAGATTGGGGGTTCCAACATAAAAAGTCAACCTCATAGGAGGAGTAGCTCATGTTTTTACATAACACTTCGTCTGGATCGTGTCGTCAGTTATTTTTTCGTCAGTTTGTCATTGTCATTTTTTTTAATTGTGTCGTCATTTGTCATAAGCCCCCCCACACCATGGATCGATTTGGCTCTAATATCATGTTAAGATCTGGGCTTCCATCCTAAAAGGTCAACCTGATATGAGGAGTAACTCATGTTTTAATATAGCACTTTGTTATTCAAACTTTTTCGGTGTGGGGTTCTAACATTTGGTTTGAGCCATTTCATACTCCCATTATAAAAGTTGTATGAAATTATATAATGAGTAACTTTTGGTGATCTTTCATGGAACAACATTACGAGCACGGCTGATAACACGAAAATCGATTGATTCGGTTGATTCTTTTGAAATTTATGAGATTCTAGCCGAAGTGGCTGCATTGGTTGATTCTCTTGATTTAAGAAAAATTATTTTTAAAATATGTTTTATTAATAAAATACTGAAAAAATTATATGTAAAATTACTAAAATGGTCATCCACAGTAACTTCAGCCAATACAGCCGGAAAAGTAAGTTCAATCTTACTTTTTTAATTATTATAGTATTATACAATTCAGCGCGCGAAAATAATAATTACGAGTTTGGTGAAAAAGTTGACTAATAAGCCGAAAAACAATGTTACCAAACGTTTTCTACATATCTAAAGAAGTACTGATTTTTCATTAATAATTCACCATAGTATTTTATGAGATCTTTTACATATACAATATTACTGCCATATGGAAACCCATCAAGAGATACTACCTCCATCCCAAAAGACTTTATCATCTCATAAACTTTTGAACATGATTTTGATTAGTATAATTTTATAGAAATTATAAATTTCATACTCTTTGAAAGTACTTTTAACATAAAACATTTTCATGTTATAAACAATTTTCAATAAAAATATATAATTTGTAAAAGTTTTATATGGAGTAGATGTCAAAGTTTTTTAGAACGCAGATAGAATTTGTTGAGGTTAATACGTCTCGATCCAAAGGCCTAGCACAACCCTTTGAATAACAATAAAAATGCTTCTCATACGAAAGATAATTCGGAAAGGAAAACAACGTAGTGACTCGATAGCCCAATTGCACTAGCGTAATCGTGATTACAGTAAATGGCCGAACGGGAGTTATGCTTCAATAGCTAATACAAGAGTTAGAGTGATGTATATAACTGTTGAGTATCCAAATGCTAACATTTACATTGGAATAAATGTTACTATTTATACTTGAAATGGGTAGATGAGATGAATGACGTGACAACTCTTGCATGGAGGATCCCTTTTGCCACTTGAGCACCCATGCTTGCCACTTACATGCCCATATTCAGCATTAGATGCGCCTCTGGCACTTGCCAGACTTCTCGACCAGTTCCTAGGGCTAATGTAATCAGTAGCCATGAATGACGTTCCCTCCTACCCAAGTATGAGATTCAACCTGTTCGAGAAGTACCGAATGGGATATTTGTGCCGGATTATTGGACCCGTTCGACAGTATACCGTTTTGGCTAGTGTTCGTTGGGCTGCATTACTTCTTCTGGGCTCCAAGGATATTTGGGTCGGATTCCTGGGCCGGACCCCGATATCCCAACAAAATTTAATTTGTAAAAATCTAAGCACAAATGAAACAGTTGTAGCATCTTTAAAAATATAACAATGGGCAAATGTTAATTTCCATAGGGTGAACAAAAATGCAATTTTTTCTTCATGCAAATAACATTTTGATTGGAGGACTTTAATTTTTTGAGGACAAAAACTATGCAACATGTACTTTTGTTAGTAAATTCTTTAATTACGAGTAAAATATAACATGATCCTTCAAAAAGGAATGTCATTATTTAATTCACACATTAGAAATAGGGTCCGGAAAAAGCGGTCGTCTCCCTCTCTCGTAGGGTTTGCTATTTCCGTCGCCTAACTTCAGTATAGGTTGGTGCGGGTTTTGTTGCTTGGAATTTGATTCTCTATAGTGATTTGATTGTTTCTACGATGTGGCTGTCTGTCCTTGGAGTCGGATTTACATCGGCGGGAGAGCCTGGTTTGAGTTGGCGGTTCAGGCGTGGGATACACTTGTCGAGGCTTATCTGCTCTGCGGCTTGGCCGGTGGGCCTGCTATCGGTGGCTGGATGGGCGACAAAGATCGGGTTACCCGGTGATGGCACAGGGTCGGCAACGGTGGGACAGTTCCAGCGAGGATGGGAGACCCAAATCCGTGTAGGCCTAGTCCATGCTGGATGCAATTCCGAGTTTGAATTGGTTTATTGAGAAGGGTTGTATGGATGAGACTTTTGTTCCTCAATATTGGATGCCCAGGCGATTCTTGACTGGTGTAGGGATATATTGCGGGCGCATGAAAGAAACATTTTTGAAGGTTACCAAGTCTTGTGGACAGAGTACTTCTCAACTAGGAATGACGGAAGTGGGAGAACAGAGGCAGAACGAGGATATTGGAGGGGACAACATGGCACTGGGTTATCTAAAAAACGGAGAGGGTGCGGGTCATGGTTATCAGACCCGCCGAGAGCTCTAAAGACACTCCAGGTCAGGGAAGGACAGGAGAAGATCTTCGGGATACTGAGGGTGCAACCGAATTTCGAGTAGTATGTTTTCTTTACTGTTATTTGCTTTGGTAATACTATTTTTGTTGTCGTCGTTTATTTATATATCTGCCTGACTCCATTAGGTTGGGGCGATGAGGGGTCTATTCTAATCACGTTAGGCTCATTTAGACCCATTATAGGATCAGCGGACCATATTACTTTTTCCAGGGTGATTGGGCTCTAAGTCTGGTTCGATGGTCGGTGGTTTGAAGTGGTCATTTTATCTTCTTGTTTCCTTGCTGAATGCTTTGATATTAATTTAAGCCGCCTTGGTCCAAAAAAAAATCACACAATAGAAATGATTGCTCATGTTTGATTTTTTTTTTATCTTTTTATTCTTTTGATAAGATTAAATAAGCTTATTTTGAGAAGGAAATATAATTCGGTCTTATTTTACCTTCTTCCCCTAAAATGTAGATGATCACACAAATAAAATGTCATCTTATTGGTAAACAAAAATCTTGTATGTGAACAAAAATGAAATAGAAGTGTGTCTCTTGTTCAATTAATTGATTATAGGAAATTGGAATAGATTCTTAATTTGGATAGAATATTTTGTTTTGGACTGAAATTTGTTGGTCTGATTTGGTCTGAACTGGTTTGGTCTGGTAAATGTCTAATCTATGTGTATTTTATACTCCGTAACTATGAAAGTCTGGTTTGATCTGGTCTGATCTGATCCTGTGTATTTTATATTCGTTGAATACACTTTTTAGGTATTTTTCAACATGTCATCTGTTTATTCCAAGTTCACTCACGTAAGCTTCTAATTATTTTGAGGAAAAAAAGGATGACACCCATCCCTGAGGGCCCCTAACCCCGATCGGACGTTACGTTGGGAGCATGTAAATTGGACTATAATGAGTATAAATGTATAATCCCAATCTGACAGATAGAGAGTGGGGCTCTGTCCCCGGTACTTTGCAGAGGCCATATGCATTTTTAGCATAGTAACTCCTTATCGCAGTTGTCAGGATTCGAATCGGGGACCTAACCCTTGTGGCACTCTCTTGCTACCAATTGAGCTACGCCCACCGGTTCTAATTATTTTCAGAAAATGAATCGCATCCAACCACCCTCCAAATTTGACATCATTTTATTTCAATAATGATTTTATTTCAAATTGTAATTAACTGAATCAGCCGATTCTCTTGAAATTTCTTAAGTTCTAGTTGAAGCAACCGAATTAGCTAAATCTGCTGAATTATGCAAACATTATTATATTTAAAATATATTTTATTAAAAAATTAAATAAAAGTATGTATGAAAACAATAAATGATCTGATACCGTAATTTCAGCCAATTTAGCAAGAAAAGTAACTTAGTCGTATTTATTTTGATTATTATACATTTTTGCGTGCGAAATCAAAAGTTATATATTTAGTGAAAATATTGACTGATAAGTCAAAACATGGGTGCCCAAACGAGCTCTAAATTTAAACAATATAAATTACACACAGGACCGAACTTTTCTCAAATCATATCAAATTTAAATAGATCAAATCAAGCAATAACATACGAATCATTACATTTAGACCAAGTAAAATATATATCAGTTAGTTTGGTGATTCTTATTTTCGACTAATCATCAGTCAACTTTTTCACCAATCACATAACTTTTGATAGTGTACTTGAATGCTTAAATAACAAAAAATAAATAAGAGTGAAGTTGCTTTTTTTGCTGAATTAATGTAGATGACCATTTTACCTATTTTTGATAATTGTATAATTTTTCCTTTATTTTATTAATAAAACACAATTTCAATATGATTTTTTTATTATTCTCACCAATCACGTAACTTTATATTTCACGCGTTGAATTGTATAATAATAATAATAATAATAATAATAATAATAATAATAATAATAATAATAATAAATAAGTAAGTAAGGACGAAGATATTTTTTTGGTTGAATTGTAGGAAATTACTTTAGAGGACTATTTTAGCTATTTCTCATATAATTTCTTCTTTATTTTTATTAATTTTTTTATAATTGAGCATATTCAATCGCTTCAGGTGAAATTTTTAAATTTTACCAGAATCATTAAAATAGCAAATAAATTATATGAAAATATGTAAATTGTAACTTCAGTTTTTCTCCTACCATTTTTAGGGATTAAATTAATGAAAATATAGAAATTTATATGTCTATATGATGTGGCATAATGCTATAATGTGATTGGTTAAAAAAAAGAATGTACCGAAACACACATTATTTAGGTGTGCACCATAGACAAACCCTTAAATTAATGAAAATATAGAAATTTATATGTCTATATGATGTGGCATAATGCTATAATGTGATTGGTTAAAAAAAAGAATGTACCGAAACACACATTATTCTGAACTCATATTGTAAATTTCTAAATTGCACGGTAAGAGTATCAAGTATAATACTCCCTCCGTCCCTTAATGTTTGTCCTACTTTGATTTCACAAGTTTTAAGGAAATGAATTTGACTTTACAGCGTAGCGACACTGTTTGACATTGTAGCGACATTGTTTGACACTGTTTGGTATATATTTGTTTACCAAATAAGGAAGTTGAAAAAGCAGGACAAACATTTTGGAACATCCATTTTGGGAAAGGAAGACAAACATTTAGGGACGGAGGTAGTAGAATTTAAAAAAATAATTTAATAGTATAAGCAATTAATAAATTAAGTTACATATTTAAATAAAATTAACATCACATGTATCAAATTAAATGTAAAAAATTCATTCACTTGTAGGTATTAACCTTATATAGTTAAGTTACTGAAATTTTGACCCGCACGGTTAGCTCAGTTGGTTGATTAGCGGGAATTTGGATCAAAGAATCCTGGTTCGAGTCCCCGCAGGAACCGTGTGGAGGCCACAACCCCTGAAATGGGTTGGATCTCTGGCGCGCACGGGATATATGAGCCTACTGTTGCTCCCCCGACTGAGTTACTGTGATTTACATCATCCCATGTGCCCGGTCGGGGTCGGGGTGTGGGAGGCTCAGGGGGTGGGAGATTCCACCCCTTTTGGATCAAGTTACTGAAATTTTTATACAACAAAGGAAAAAAATTGTTGGAAAAACAAAATACGAAGCTTACTCATGAATTTTTCCGAACCAAGTTTTTTACATAATAATGTTTTTTCTTGGACTATTTTCAATCCAGACCAAATCAAATTTAAAATGATCAGACCAAACCAGAATTAGACAAACTAGAGCAGACTAGACTTCCATAGATACTACGTATCGTACATAATACACAGAGACCAGAAATTATAAAAACAGACCAGTTCAAATCAGATCGAACCAAAATTAAACAAACTAGACAAGATCAGACCGGTAAATTTCAATCCAAGTAAAAACATTCTACGCCTAGATTTGCCAAAAAAAAATCAAACCTTACCATCATTATTACGAGAACTTACCAGATGAAAGAACGAACTGGCATGGAAGGGGTGACTGGTGCAACGGATAAACGAGGGAAGTATAAGGGTTAATTTCGGAAGGGAAGCCGATCATTTAATCGGCTGAAGCAAACGCTAGGTCTCCTAACTTTTGAGTTCAACCATTTTTCTTTCGTTCTAGCTCTGTGTAGCCTCTCATCCAAACATGATTACTTGTACATTTATTGAATGAATTTCAAAAAAATTCAACCCATTATGAGCTGAAAGCTCACGCCAAACATAGCCAAAGTCTAGGATTAACCATAGAGTTAGTTGCCCATAAAAGGCATACTTGCTTGCTAACCATCAACTCTAAAAGGCATAGTGGCTCGCTAATCATTAAGCTGACAAACATAATCCTATAACGATCGAGCAAATCAGCGGCATTCCAACAAATTCACATCTCACAAGTCACAAGTCTCCAATTAACTAGCCTACTCATTAAACATATAAGTATGACCTTTAGAATAAGATTGGATTATTTCAGCCAAATAATTCCACGTAAGATCCAGAGATTAAAATATGGGATGCAAAGTTGCAAACCAAGCTCATTACATCGGCGCACGTCAAGTTATTAGAAGTCGGGGCTCAATTCAGGTATAGCACTATAACCCAAAAGAAAATCACCACACTATCCTTTATACTTTAAACTTATTTTCAATTAAAATTACTTTTTTTGAAGAAGATACTTAAATTATAACAGAACGTAAGCATATTACAAAGTGACAACAAGTCTTTAGCCTGCCGTCCACCCTACAACCAGACTAAAATTAATCATCTCCATAGAAGCAATATAATTCGTTGATCCCACTTTGGGCTTAACTGAGCCCCTCACTTGCAGACCAGACCCTCGTCTCCTGTCCTAGGTTCTAGAGTTTTATTGCCGGAAAAACACATCACAACCAAAAGAGAGTAAAGATCCAAATAAAAATGAAACATGAAGAAAATTAAATAAGCAAAATAAATTTCTTAAACTCTAGCACCTCGTTCAACCTCCGGCGGTGGCTCAAGAGAAGGCCGGACGATCGCTATGATTGTTGACACGAACAACTGAACAAGACACGGCTCCAGACCCTAGCACAGAAGGTAGAGCTCCCACCCGTCGCAAACTCTCCTCCAGTTTCCCACAAATCTTTTCCTCATGACGCCTCTCTTGCGTCTTCTCTTGACTGCCACATAGTTTCCTCTATCGACAAGCGAACACAAGCACATCGAATGTGCAAACGAAACAAGCCGCTACCCTACTAAACAAGCCGCACCCAATGACGACGATATTCAAAACCCTAACCCAAGGAGATATCCACCTTAATGTAATGCTTCAATTAAAATTACTTGTAAATGTAAATCACGTATTTGGTATAATAATATCAATAAGGATGTTTTTACTTGAACTGTTTTCAATCTCAGAAGACTTAAACAGACTAGACTTGACTTTCATAGTTATAAAATACACAGAGACCAGACGTTTACCAGATCAAACTTTAACAGACCAGATGAAAGAAAGAACTGGCCTGGAAGGGGTGACTGGTGCAACGGATAAACGAGGGAAGTATAAGGGTTAATTTCGGAAGGGAAGCTGATCATTTAATCGGCTGAAAGCAAACGCTAGGTCTCCTAACGTTTGAGTTCAGCCATTTTTCTTTCGTTCTAGCTCTGTGTAGCCTCTCATCCAAACATGATTATTTGTACATTTATTGAATGAATTTCAAAAAAATTCAACCCATTATGAGCTGAAAGCTCACGCCAAACATAGCCAAAGTCTAGGATTAACCATAGAGTTAGTTGCCCATAAAAGGCATACTTGCTTGCTAACCATCAACTCTAAAAGGCATAGTGGCTCGCTAATCATTAAGCTGACAAACATAATCCTATAACGATCGAGCAAATCAGCGGCATTCCAACAAATTCACATCTCACAAGTCACAAGTCTCCAATTAACTAGCCTACTCATTAAACATATAAGTATGACCTTTAGAATAAGATTGGATTATTTCAGCCAAATAATTCCACGTAAGATCCAGAGTTATTAAAATATGGGATGCAAAGTTGCAAACCAAGCTCATTACATCGGCGCACGTCAAGTTATTAGAAGTCGGGGCTCAATTCAGGTATAGCACTATAACCCAAAAGAAAATCACCACACCATCCTTTATACTTTAAACTTATTTTCAATTAAAATTACTTTTTCTGAAGAAGATACTTAAATTATAACAGAACGTAAGCATATTACAAAGTGACAACAAGTCTTTAGTCTGCCGTCCACCCTACAACCAAACTAGAATTAATCATCTCCATAAAAGCAATATAATTCGTTGATCCCACTTTGGGCTTAACTGAGCCCCTGACTTGCAGACCAGACTCTCGTCTCCTGTCCTAGATTCTAGAGTTTTATTGCCGGAAAAACACATCACAACCAAAACAGAGTAAAGATCCAAATAAAAATGAAACATGAAGAAAATTAAATAAGCAAAATAAATTTCTTAAACTCTAGCACCTCGTTCAACCTCCGGCGGTGGCTCAAGAGAAGGCCGGACGATCGCTATGATTGTTGACGCGAACAACTGAACAAGACACGGCTCCAGACCCTAGCACAGAAGGTTGAGCTCCCACCCGTCGCAAACTCTCCTCCAGTTTGCGACAAATCTTTTCCTCATGACGCCTCTCTTGCGTCTTCTCTTGACTGCCACATAGTTTCCTCTACCGACAAGCGAACACAAGCACATCGAATGTGCAAACGAAACAAGCCGCTACCCTACTAAACAAGCCGCACCCAATGACGGCAATACTCAAAACCCTAACCCAAGGAGATATCTGCCTTAATGTAATGCTTCAATTAAAATTACTTGTAAATGTAAATCACGTATTTGATATAATAATATCAATAAGGATGTTTTTACTTGAACTGTTTTCAGTCTCAGAAGACTTAAACATACCAGACTTGACTTTCATAGTTATAAAATACACATAGACCAGACGTTTACCAGACCAGACTTTAACAGACCAGATCAGACTTAAACAGACCAGACCAGATTAGACTAGACCAACAAATTACAGTCCAAGTAAAAACATTCTAACAGTCACCAAAAACATCAATTTTTTCAATCCAAACAAACCAAAATCATCAAATTTTTCAATCCAAACAATATAGATTATATTAATATCAAACCAACCATTCCAGCTCACTGGATGGGAGGTTACCGTGTCCTAGCGAAGGTCTCAGATTCGAATCCCGCTAGGCACATTTAGAGAAGAGGAGAGAATTCTTGCTCCCAATGATTC